AGAGATCATATTTGTACCAACTTTTTTATCAAATTTTTTGAAAAACAACAATTATTTATCAATTAAGAATCGATGGAAATCATCTTGCTTTTTTTGTTATAAGGAGTAAAACTAATGCTAGCCAAACTTCATCTTCCTTGCAATTTAGCAAGACATAGTTTAGCTACATCTCTCTCCTCCAATGCTAAACATCATGTACATGACTATGCATACATTAATTGACCATGGCAAGAAAACACATATAATTGACCTTGGACATTGCTCCCAATGCTGCCATAGTTCCTTGGTGGTTGATTTTAGCTTGTGTCAACATCATCTCTAAAATAACGAGTAGAAATGGGTTATCTCATATGATATAAATGCCTCAACAATTGATGCCTTTATAAGATTTTTATTTCTTATGATCCTCTTAAGTTTGTACATATGCCTAAAAGAAGATACTAAAAAAATTAATTTAAAAAATTAATCAATAGTTAGTTTTAATATTTTTAATCTCTTTGTATGTCTTACTTTTCAAATGGGTACATTCAATGAAATTGAACAGGACCACCAATTCTAGCTTCCTATGGAACATGAATTGCAAGGTGCTTCATAAAATTAAAGTATCTAGAGGGAATATTATTTCTAACTTATAAATTGTTTTGACAATCTTTGCCTCCCACTTTTATATCTCGTTAGATCCAATGATTAGGGAAAAAAGTGAACAAAAGAAGTTACTAATGTCGATCAAATGACCCCAAATAGCAGATGGCAATAAACCACGAAATGTGATTGGAATTAGTTGTTGCATTTTCAAAGTATCTAGTAGCAATGCCCTACATCTCATGAAGCTTGGATTTCCAATCCTCATTCTCATCTTGCAACCGCTCCACCTTATTTTTTTATCCTCGTTTAGATGCTCATTTGTGGAAAAAACAAGTATTTCTATCCCCTCTTAGAGCCATATTTCATGACTGCGTTGTCTCCACATTATCTCCTCTCTTTCAAGCCACTTCTCCATTTCTTGAACAATCTGTTTCTCTTTCTGGTATGTGGCCTGAGGATTTTGATACTACTATAGCCCATCCAATCTCATCAGACACTGCTTCAGCCACTTTTGGACATGCCCAAATCGGGAGTCATTCTAACTGCTCAAACTCCCTGAACATGCACGCACCTTTTGTAGAAGACAACTCTAATCACCCACACTTTCTATAGATTTCCAGCTATCTTGTACTACTTCTTGACATCCATTATCCTGAGGCCACATCTCTTCAAAGTGGAATTTTTTCTTGTGTCTATTATGTGGATTCTTTCTGCCCTCAAGAGTGATCCAAAGGGGGTTATTATCAAAGGCTAATGATGGGAGTAAATGGACCAGGGCTTAGGGAAAAAAGCTCATCCAGCGTAGGGTTACGAATCCTCTATCAAGCTTCTCAAAAACTTTCCAAGTGAATAAGCCACCCATCATCTGCACTTCTGTCAAACCACAAAAGTCAATCACATCTCGGAAACCATGGATCATCCAATCAGGTTGTAGCATTCCTCCCATCTTCTCATCTTGGCTTGAGAGATCATTAAAATCACCACCAACAAGCCATGGCAGTGAGGAACGACCTGCCAATTCTCATAGTAAGCTCCACGATTTCTTTCTGTGTTGCCTTTCTAGATACCGATAATAACATGTAAATCTCCACCTTCTATCTGGCCAACCCTCAATCTCTATATCAATGTGATTCAAAGAGTAGCATAATAAAGGCAGCGTAACATTTATATTCCAGAGCATAGCTAAGCCTTAACTCTACCCTTTTTGATCAACCGTAAAGCAATTCTTGAAACCCAATCTTCTCTGAATTCATTCCATACCTCTTCCATTAAGTAGTGTCTCACTTAAAAGCACTATTGAAGGCTGCTTCAACCTCACCAACTCGATGAGGCTATGAACTGCCCAGGGGTTCCTAAGCCCCCAACAGTTTTAACAAAGGAGACTCATGGCAACTGGCGAGCGTGCATAACAACCCCCGTTGATAAGATAATTTGGTTTCCATCATCTCCCACACCTCTCACACACTTCTCACTGCTTACATTGACACTTTCCTCCTCCAATACCAACCTTTCCTTCCTTTTAATTCTAGGCACAACTGATAGTGAATTAGTCGCTTGGGATTTACGGCTTCGGGCTTCCTGTTTCCAAGCACGGGTTTTAGGAGAAACAGTAATCTGAAGAGTAGAGAACAAGAAGATAATGTCTGCTTCTTGGGCCTGATTTGTTTGTACAAGATTGGGCTGAACATGGGCCTACATGGGAGCCCACCCATTTGACTCCATCTGCTTGGTAGACAATTCCGAAGCATATTCCTCTCTTATGCTCACATCACTCAACTCAAAAATGATAATAGTTTCCTTTCTCCCATCATTATATAGAATATTTCCACCATTAAAGGTATTTTGCCTTACCATCTCTACAACCGTTAATCTTGGGTTGTCATGATGCTCCTTAATTTCCTTCCCTTGATCTAGAGATAGCATATCCTTACTAGTATCCATAAAGGCTCCAATCATCCCCCTTTATTACTCCACCAATCATGAGATTCCGAAGCCCAAGGCGATCTTTTCAATTCCACATAATGCGCACCTTCCATATTGGTACTGGAGCCTTGTTGCCGCGCTGCTTCTTCCATCACTGGGTTGTCAGAAGCCTCTTGAAGCCATCTTCTACTGTCCGTAGCATCAGTTATCTATAAGTATTTTGGCGTAGCTCGTAGTTTCTCCTTGTAAGGGCGCTCTTTTACTCCCATTGCTTCCACTTCTAAGCCCAGTTCACAATCCCACTCAATGTGATCTAGCATGCCACAACAATAACAAAAGTTCTGAAAGCGTTCATATCAAAAATCAACCCAAATCTGGCCATACCTCGTTGACAATTTCATCCCACGTCGTAATAGTTTTCTAAAATCAATGAAAACTCTAGCACGAATATAATCTACTCCTCATGAATCATCCCCACCATCATCCACCTCCACACAACGTTCCACCTCAGCACCTATTTGCTTGCCTGTTTCTGCCGTCAAATGATCAGGCCATGGATTTGTATCTAGAAAGGAACTTCATATAGATCATCTATTGATACTTGTTTCCCCCATGGCATCTCGTTCAAGACCATAACATGGTTGGTAAAATGCCAAGGTCCTACAACCAACACTCTCTACATATCAACTGGGTGGAAGAAATAAAAAGCAAAAAGATTTGACCCCAAGACCCTCATATGCATGCCTTTGACAAAGCCATGGATCTGTATCTAGAAAGGAACTTCATAGAGATCATCTCTTGATACCTATTTCCCCCCTAGCATCTCGTTCAAGACCATAACATGATTGGCGAAATGCCAAGGTCCTACAGCTAGCACTCTCTACATATCAACTGGGTGGAAGAAATAAAAAGCAAAAAGATTTGACCCCAATACCCTCATATGCATGTCTTTGACTGTCCTCCAGACATTTGCCAATAAGACACCCTTTCCAACCGCCTCTCGCATCGGTAGAGCATCACCATCATCCAGAGTTAATCCAACATTTTCCTCTACAGTGAGGGATAAACGTTCGCCTAGTCTTTTGTTAGCTCTTGTACGCTTGCGTCCGCCATATGAAATCATGTTGCAAACGATCTGTTGTTGCCTCCCACACTATAGAAAGAAAAAAGCACTCCTAAACCCTGGGAGAAAAAAGCTTGGGATTATTTGTTTGTTAATGGAGTGAGTTAAAGAAAGTAAGCATTATAAAGTTGCATTGTTCCTTCAATCATCAACGATGGAGTCCTACTAGAAGTCTAGAATCTAATTAATCCCAATTGTTTAAAGCTTTAGAAAACAAAATATAAACAAAATTAGTAGCCATAGGTTTAAGGCAAAATCTCCTGGGTAGTAGGGCAGAAATCACTAATTTCTATAAATTTTGCCTATTAGATCGAGTTCCAATACAATACGACTTTGAGAATATTTGTACTTTGAACAAATTTTTCTTACGTAGAAATGATATAATTATTTTTTTACAAAAAATAAAAATAAAAGAACATTAACAAAACGATACAATGTTGGTCCTGATTTGGTCCTGTCTTTTTTTTCTTTTCTCGTTTTTTCTTTTTTGAGTTCTTTTTGCATTAACTCTATTTGGGTTTAATTTTTAGTAACAATTGATAATTGAGATAATAACTTATATCTAATTCAATAGTTGGATTGACTAGTAATTAAGTGTTGTCTTATAAGTTAAGTTTAAGATTCTTATCTTTGAGCCGGTACTAATGAAAATTAATTTCCTTGAATAAACTTTTACGATTGCTTTGTGAGGAAGTAATCTCAAAGAGTACAAAAGTTAGGTTGGAAACACCTTGACTATAAATACCAAAATAAAAATACTTGATATCCACTACTTTCTAATTGATTTAGGTTGCATTTAAATTGCTTTCTCACACAATTTTTCACATAGAATCTTATAAAAGTGTTAATTCATTATAATTAAATTAATTTTAATTGATATTTTGTATAATTTTGTATTCATATTAATATATAAGACTATTTTCAAAATAACTATCAAACAATAACATAATTTTCCGTATAGTAGAATGTTGAAAATCTATAACCACTATACTTCATAACAATCCCAAACATAATCTTAGTAATGATCCAAATTAATTTTCAGACTTTTCATTTTTTTCTTTTTTCTTTTTTCTTTTTTTTTTTAGACGATCACACATTTCATTTTAAAAACGCATTAAGTGCTAATTTTACCCTTATTTGGGATAAAAGAAAATTTTGTTACTCCCTCATTCTCAGTTTAGGGTTTGTTTAATTTGTGATGGCATAAGTTAAGTGTATAATAAATATATTATTTTATAACTAATTTATATAAAAAATCATAAAAGTTGACTTTTATTTAACACCATGCCACATGAATAATTTTAATTAATTGATTGATTAAATTAAAGTCAATATTTATATTTTTCATACAAATTAATTATAAAAAGTACAATAAATACCTTAAGGTCCAAGTTAAAAAAAAAAAAAGCTCATAATGTCTATCTATCACTATAAATAACTTACACATAATTTATATAATTCTTTTATATAAATCTCTAAGTATATCATTTAAAACAAAGTAGCCATTATCTTGAGGGACCAAGAAGAAAGTTTGCATGAACTTCGGCTTCGAATTACACTTGCTAATCAGATAACCAATCACAACAAGGACTCCCCATTTAGTGAGTCTTGCGCATCCACATGGGTTATCTCTTCTGTGAAATCTTCATAATAGGAGATAATAGGAGAGTACCTTCTTGCCGATAGCCTGCTCCTGAAATTTCAACTCCAACAAATCATGACCACTTGTTCATTTGCATATGTAAAGAAAATAAATTCAAGATCTAGACTTGTTTTGATGAAAAAAAAAAAATCAAGATCTAGACTCCAAACAGAACCAATGATACAAAAGTAGAGTAACAAACTACTTTCCTACGATTTTCATTCTACATCAAGAATGCTCCATCATCTAGAGCAAATAATAACTTTCAAATCTTATAAATTACCTAATCTAAAAGAGTTTTGTCATATATTTACTCTATTCTAAAATAATTGTGTTTTATGCCTTTTTGTTTGTCTTAAATTAATGGTTAAAACTCTTTTTTGGTCCCTGAATTATTGTACGGACCCCCGATTTGGTCCCTGAACTAAAAAAATCCCCGATTTGGTCCCTACTGTTTACTATTTTTACCCCGATTTGGTCCTTCCGTCAAATATCAACCTACGTGTCCTGTTACTTGACGGGAAAATGATGACATGTCATATAATAATCCACGTGGAAGTTAATATAACCAAAAAAATAATGATGTGGAAAAAAATAATATAAAAAAATATTAGAAAAAATAAAACTTAAAATTTTTTTTCTTTTTTCTTTTTTTCTTCTTTCTTTCTCCTTCCCCTTTCCCTTTCTCTTTCTCCTTCCCCTTTCTCTTCTCTTTCCCCTCGGAACCCAGCAGGCCTGGGTTCCTTCGAACCCACCCAGGCACTGGGTTCCTTGGGTTCGCCTGGGTTCGCAAGGAACCGAACCCAGCACGCTTGCCTGGGTTCGATGGAACCCAGCACGCTTGGGTTCAGTTCCTTGCGAACCCAGCGCCTGGGTTCGCAACGAACCTAAGCATGCTGGGTTCGCGTCTGGGTTCGCACCGAACTCAGCATGCCTGGGTTTGGTGGAACCCAGCACGCTTGGGTTCCTTGTGAACCCAGGCGTTGGGTTCGCAAGGAACCTGAGCATGCTGGGTTCGCAAGGAACCTGAGCATGCTGGGTTCACAAGGAACCCGAGCATGCCGGGTTCGCGTCTGGGTTCGCAAGGAACCCGAGCATGCCGGGTTCGCGTCTGGGTTCGCGTCTGGGTTCGCAAGGAACCCGAGCATGCCGGGTTCACGTCTGGGTTCGCACCGAACCCAGCATGCCTGGGTTTGGTGGAACCCAGCACACTTGGGTTCCTTGCGAACCCAGGCGTCTGGGTTCACACCGAACCCAGCATGCCTGGGTTTGGTGGAACCCAGCACGCTTGGGTTCGGTTCCTTGCGAACGCAAGGAACCCAAGCGTGCTGGGTTCGCGTCTGGGTTCCTACAAACCCAGCACTCTAAGAACCCAGGTGCAAAAAATTTTAAAAAAAAAATTTCTGTTTTTGTTTTTTGGATATTGTTGTTTGATTGTGATGAAAAATTGATTGATGAAGATGAAGATGAAGATGAAGAAGGCAAGGCAGTTGCTGGGTTATTGCAGGTGTTGGGTTCGATTTTTCAATTTCGAATGCTAGGTGTTTGCAGGTGCTGGGTTCGTTTGCAGGTGCTGGGTTCGTTTGCAGGTGCTGGGTTTGTTTGCAGGTGCTGGGTTTGTTTGCAGGTTTGTTTGCAGGTGCTGGGTTGGTTTGCAGGTGCTGGGTTCGAAATCGAACCCAGTAGGCGGTGGGTTTCGTTTCGAACCTAGCAGCCATTGGGTCAAATATCTATTGAGTTTAATCTGTTGATTTGTTGTGTTATTTTCGAATTTAATATTAGGAGTTAGGGTTTGCAGAAGGTTAAAGGAAACAGAAGGTTAAAGGAAAGGTAGAGGAAGAAGAAAGGGAAAAAGGAAAAACAAACAAAGAAGAAAAAAAAAGGAATAACAAAATTTTTAAGATTTTTTTCTTGCCATCTCATTTTTTTGTCACACTGTACATCCTAGGTGTCAAAATGTTTTTACATGTCATCATTTTCCCGTCAAGTAACGGGACACGTAGGTTGATATTTGATGGAAGGACCAAATCGGGGTAAAAATGGTAAACAGTAGGGACCAAATCAAGGATTTTTTTAGTTCAAGGACCAAATCGGGGGTCCGTACAATAGTTCAGAGACCAAAAAGGGGTTTTAACCTAAATTAATCATTATTTTTTTAAAATTTTTTAGATAGATAAATATTTTTGCCTTATTTAAAACTATTATTATCCATTTATTTTAATTAATTATCTTATTTAAAAAAAAGCATGTCTTTTAGCTTTTTCCAAAGGGTAATAAAGATAAGTAGATGAATTATCCCCAAATCTTTAATTTGGGAAAAAAGTAATAAAATGACAGTTATTTTTAGGAGTGAGGATTGGGTATGGGTACATCAATTACTTACAATATTTTACTTGTTTGTATAAATATTATACTCGAATTGTGAACAAATTTGGTAAGTAATGGGTATAAAAGAGGCATACCTATAAATATTAGTCAAGTAACAAATATAGGGGTTTAGAACTAATTACTTAACTTATTTAACCGACTTGTTTAACTAACTTGTTATCTATGCTTGTATATTTGAAATTTTACCTATAGTTACTATACTTAATATCTATATAATAATACTAATTTTTAAAAATAAAAAATAAAGAGTTTTTATAATCTGCGTCTTTAAGAGTGTAATAAATACATCTTTTTGTCATAAATTTGTATTAAAAAATAAAATTTGATCTTTAATTTATCAACTGTTTAATTAAATTCATTCACTTAGCACTTAGCACTTACACTAAAATTAATGTTGACTTTTATATTTTTTTAACATGCATTTATAACAAAAAGGCACTCTTAACTTATGCCTTAAAGACACAGATTATATTAACCCAATAATAAAATACAAAACTAAAATAAAAGTAAAGTAACATTTGTAAACCAAACAAATCATATAGGCAAAATAGTAACTTGTAAAAATAACAAACTTTAAGTTAAACATTTGACACATGCAGTAATGGCAACTGGTAGAAGACATATTCTTTCCTTAAGGCAATTATACAAATATATACCTGCAAATCTCGTGGTCCTTGTTTGGTTAGGTCTTCAAATATTTAGATAAGTACTAAGTCTAAAAAATCATACCTGAAAATTTTCAAGTTAAGTATCAAATATAATTCATACTTGACCTATAGCTAAAAATGCTTATCCCTAGTTATTTTGAGCCAGAGAGAGTAAGATTCAAATAAGATTTAAGTAAGATTTTTTTAATTTTGTTTATCTTGTAAGTAAAGCGATAAGTTTAATTTGAATTTATCTAGTTTTTAGTTTTTGGCAAATAATGAAAAGTAAATGGATAATTACCATCCTAATTTAAAAAAGAAAATATTGGCATCTCCAAAAAAGATAATAATTTGAAATTAAATTTAAAAAATTAAAATTAAAATCAATTGATATATCCAATAGTTACGTAGGCATTAATAAAATTTTAGTTCTTTTTTAAGTTTTGGGCCTGTTTACACCCAAAATAAACTAAAAAGGGGAGAGGACACGTGTGTGGTTTTTTAGGGTGAACTAGTCCATATTTTCAATGATGAGCTGAGTTGAGACTATAAGTAATTTGTGCTCTAGACCAAATAGGCTACGATGGGGTGGCTGGAGTCCAAGAAGGGTAAGCTTTCTAAGGTGGTTAAAATTTAACCTAATTAGGAGGTTGTGGAGAGACTTTAGGAAGATTTATCTATATTTTATTAAAGATTTATTTGAGAGTAACTGCTAGTTGCTAGACGAGAGGAAAATTGCTCTCAAACATGGCTTTCTACAACAAGTTTTACGAAAGCAGAAGTGGGAATTTCAACATGATTTCCATATTAGAGTGCAAGACCTATTCTTGTTCTTAGTTTTAGTTTAAGCTTTTTGTCCTTGTTCATATTTACCTTCAAATATTGCAATTTTTGTTCATTTTTAAGGACTTAGAAGCAATTCAGCCTTCTAAGTGAGTCTACCCCATTGATTTGGTTAGTTTTCTTTCTTCTAAGGATTCGTCTCTATTATTTGTTTATGTGAATGGGTTTGAATGCTTTCTACCTTCTCTTCTTCGTTTCTGCACAGTTGCCAAACTTATAGCTTGTTTAACTTAGCTATACCAAAAGATAAGTATTCGATGCCAATCGTAGACTTGCTGGTTGATAAAGTAACTCGACATAAAATTTTATCTTTGATGGATGGCTATAGTAGATATAACCAAATTTTCATTGCAGAAGTAGACGTCCAAAAGACAACCTTCTGATGCCTAGGTGCTATTAGAACATTGGTTAAATACCTTTTTTTGGTCCCTCTACTATTGAAAAAAGCCTCCTTTTGGTCCCTGTACTGAAAAAATCCCCTTTTTAGTCCTTAAAGTTTAAAATCTGGTCCCTTTTCAGTGCCTCCGTTAAATTTTTGTTGACTTGTCATGTTAATTAATGGAATCAATTGATTATTTTTTATATAAATGATATTATAAATGATGTGGAAATTATATGAATAAAAATATCAATCCATGTAAGTATTGCATCCTAATATTTTGGGCCACGTGTACAAATTAAAGATTTTACTTCTTAATTTACTAATTAAATGAATTTAAACATAATTAACTTTAATTTCTTCATCTTCTTCTTTCTCCTCATCCTCACCCTCATCACGTCATCATTTATCTTCACCATCCTCTTCATCATCTTGGGTTCCTTGAAGAACCCAGATGCTGGGTTCCCTACGAAACCTTTATTTGGGTTCCTCATAGAACCCAAGTTTTGGGTTCATTATGAAACCTAGATCGTGTTTGATATTTGGGTTTGAAACTACAGGTGACAGATTTATATTGTGTTCATGTTGTTATGAACTTCATAATTTGATTCATCCATAGCCTAGATTCAATAGGAAGAAATGGTTGAGAATCTCAAATTAGTAATTAATTTTTATTTTTATCAAAGAAAATACTCCTATGAATTCTCAATTATATCTTGATCTATCTCACATGTACAGGATTGATTATGAACAAAGAATTTCGAAAGAAGGAATATGATTTCTAGAGAGGGAATTGAAAAACAAAATGGAGAATTTAGGGGTTTTTTTTTCACTCAAAGAGAGTGACGTGGAGGGGTGGTATTAAGTCAACATAATCACCTTTACATGGTGTAATATCCATGTCAGATTTTCCCATTAAGATAACATGCCATGTGAGTAAAAAGTAACAAAGAGACTAAAAAATGGCTGGATTTTAAACTTTAAGAACCAAAAGGGGATTTTTTCAGTATAAGGACCAAAAAGGAGCTTTTTTCAATAGTAGAGCGACCAAAAAGGGTATTTAACCTAGAAAATTTGAATAGATTATGATTATGTTTGGTTTGAAGAATGTTGGAGCCACCTACCAAAGAGCCATGAATGCTATTTTCCATGACATGATTGGCAAATTCATGGAAATCTACGTTGATGATGTTGTGGTGAAGTAGCACGAGGAAAATGACCACCTAGTCCATTTGAGGAAGACTTTTGAGCGGATAAGGTAACACGGTTTGAAAATGAACCCATTAAAGTGTGTTCTAAAAGTGTCTACAGGTAATTTCCTTAGGTACTTGGTGCATGAGCGTGGTTTGGAGGTTGATAGGAATAAGGCTTTAGCTGTGATTGAGGTTTAGCCACCACAGAACAAGAAGGAGTTGCAAAGATTTCTTAGCCAAATTAATTTCTTAAGACGCTTTATTTCTAATTTGGCTGGGAAAACTAGAATTTTTTTCCTTTGTTGAGGCTTAAGTCTAAGGTAGACTTTGAATGGAAAGAATAGCACTAATCTACCTTTGATGCAATATAGCAGTACTTGTCTAAACCGCCAATACTTGTTTCACCTATTAAAATAAACATCTTATTTTGTATATTTCTACCATAAATGAGTCAATATAATGTCTACTAGCACAAGAAAATAATAGAAAATGGGAGTAATTTGTGTATTATTTGGGTTGTTACCTGACCTAGACCGAAGTGAAATATTCTTCAATTGAAAAGTTGTGTCTTGCTCTATTTTTTGCTATAATAGAGTTAAGACATTATTTGATTTATTCTGAGGTTTACGTGGTTGTTGAGACTAATGTGATCAAATATATGTTGTCTTGTCCTTTGTTGAGAGATTGAATAGGTAAATGCATTTTGATCTTGTCTAAATTTAACTTGAAATATATACCACAGAAGGCTATCAAAGGGTAAGCATTGGCAGACTTCCTTGTCAATCATCCATGTTTCGAAGTGGAAGTGAATGAGGAGAAAGGGATCAACTTGTTTTCAATAAATTTAGTTCTTTGGAAACTCATTTTTTATAGTTCTAGCATAGAAATCATGTCTAAAGCTAGGGTTGTGATTATTTCTTCATTTGGGCTAAAAACACAAATGTCTTTTTAGTTGAATTT